GTTGCAAATAGAGATCACGATCATGGGATGCTACAAATGTCGTATGTTTAAGGTAGCTGACAAATGCCTGGATTTGATCGTGTGACCCCCATTGGAACAGCTACAACATTGACAACCAGTTGTAAACATCACTCATTCAGCGCCATCAAAACTGAATGGTTTCCAAATGAATGGCTGTTAAAAAGGACTATCTGTATTGCTTCAGAAAGAATACTGAAACAGATGTGGGCTGGAATCTCAAGGTTTCTCCATGGCAGAAGGGCAGGTTTTCTCTGCAAACATTGTAATACCTTTGTATTGTTACACTTTCATCCAATACATGGAAGGAAAACGAAGTAAAACAGGCCAAAGAAAGAGCTCTATAGTATGTAGGCAGATAATACTGAATAGGTAACCTACTGGTGTGAAGAGTTTCCCGATTATTTCTGCCAGTATTGGCTATATAAGTCATCTGATCTTAAGAGCTCCATGAAATACTCGCTGCTGGATTGTGGATGTAACTGCTGATACCTCCCCCCCTCCTTTGGTTAGGACAGGGGTGTCAAACTGGTAGTCCGAGGGCTGGATGTGTCATGCGCAGGCCACGTCCACCCTGGTTCCTCAAAGGGAAAAACGTAGCGAAATGTCACATGACAGCAACATGATGCTGCAAGTTTGGCGCTCATGTTTTAGAAGAACAATGTGAGAAGTAATACTGACATAGTTAAATCTGATTTCTAGTTTTCCAGAATAAAGAAAATGTATTTAGAAAAATCATAGATCTAAGGATTAATTGAAAAAGTGATACTTGAGCCAAAATTAGAACAAGGCCATGCAGATTCAAGATTCCAGAGGGATCATTTCAATATTCTTAGAAACCTAGATTGGCAAATATCTAAAGGTTTTAATTATTATACACATAGAGAAAGCCATGTATAATATCTTGAAGATTTAGATTTTTAAGGCATCAAGTGTGTCTTTCTACTTTCTTACAAGCTCAGGATGGCTTTTAATATTGATCCTGTCAGAAATGGATTTAATTTTAACTATTTTAGAATAGTTTATTGCAAAGCCATTCCTTATTACATCAATGCAATAAGATGCACAGACTTCTTAAAAGGCCAACCTGAGCTGAAGAAAGAATAGCTATATCACCACCTTAAAAAGTACAGCTAGCTTTGTATTATCAAGTAGGGGAAAAGACATGTGGAAAGTGATGGAATTTTACTTTGGTTAAAATGGTAGAAACTCAACTCATATAAATATTGAGGGTTCAGAACATAAAACAGTTTAATTGTTCAGGAAAAAAACAAGTTAAAGTAAATAAATTTACTTTATAAAGTAAAGTAAATTTAACAGGTAACAGATAATCACAGTTGGAAGGATCCTTGTAGGTCATCTAGTCCAACCCCCTGCCCAAGCAGGAGACCCTACACCATTTCTGACAGATGGGAGTCCAATCTCTTCTTGAAAGTTTCAAGTGATGGCGTTCTCACAACTTCCGAGGGCAAGCTGTTCCATTGGTTGATTGTTCTCACTGTCATAATTTCCTTATTTCCAGGTTAAATCTCTCCTTGTTCAGTTTCCATCCATTATTCCTTGTCTGGCCTCCGGGTGCCTTGGAAAATAGCTTGACCCCTTCCTCTCTGTGGCAGCCCCTCAAGTATTCGAAGACTGCTATCATGTCTCCCCTGGTCCTTCTTTTCACTAGACTAGCCATGCCCAATTCCTGTAACCATTTTTCATGTTTTAGTCTCCAGTCTCCTAATCATCGTGGTTGCTCTTCTCTGTACTTTTTCTAGAGTCTCAACATCTTTTTTGTAATGTGGTGAACAAAACTGGATGCAGTACTCTAGGTGTGGTCTTACTAAGGCTTTATAGAGTGGTATTAGTACCTCCCTTGATCTTGATTGTATCCCTCTGTGAATGCAATTTAGGATTGCATTAGCTTTTTTGGCTAATTAGCTTTTTTTGCTGCTGTACACTGTTGGCTCATATTTAGCTCGTTGTCCACTAAGACTCCAAGATCTCTCTCACAGTTACTGCTATTGAGCCTCAGTCTATATGGGTACTTTTGGTTTTTCTTGCCTAAGTGTGGGACTTTACTTTTCTCTACATTGAATTTCATTTTGTTAACTATGGCCCAGTGTTCTAGTCTGTCAAGATCCATCTGAATGTTGAGCCTATCTTCTTGGGTGTTAGCTATTCCTGCCAGCTTAGTATCATCTGCAAATTTGGTGAGTTCCCCTTCTATTCCCTCATCTAAGTTGTTAACGAAGATATTGAAGATACTGAGCCTAAGACAGAACTTTGTGGCACCCCACTGCTTACTTCCCTCCATGTAGACTTATACCCATTAAGGACTACTCATTGAGTATGGTTTGTCAACCAGTTGCGAATCTATCTGGTGGTGGTGCTATCTATCCACCTTTTTTCTAGCTTACCAAAAAGTAGGTTGTGGTCTACTTTGTCGAATGCCTTGCTGAAATCTAAGTATATTATGTCCACAGTATTTTTCTGGTCTACTAATTTAGTCACCATGTTAAAGAATGAAATAAGATTGGTTTGGCATGATTTGTTTTTAATAAACCCATGCTGACTGCTAGTTATTACTTTACTTGTTTCTAGATGTTGGCTGTTTTTTTATTATCTTTTCCAGTATCTTCCTGGGTATTGATGTTAGGTTGATTGGTCTGTAGTTTCCTGGGTCTGTTTTTTTCCTTTTTAATTTGTTGATTTGTTTATTTTTTAATTTGTTGATTTGTTTAATTTTTAATTTGTTGATAACTGTTTTGGTTTCTCTGTTTTTCTGATTTCGTTCATCCAATACTGTTTCCAGATTTTTATTTAAAAAGTAAATAAAAGTGGTAAAATGGTTATTTAGTTTTGCATTTCTTTCCTGATTTATCCATCTCTATAAACCATTTTGCCTAATGTATGTATTTTTCTTTTTTCAAATAATGGCTTGATAGCTTTTTTTCCCCCAGATGGCAAGACTACTTCCTATGGCAGTTTTTAGAGTTAGCCACTAGTGGGCAGGGCAGAAACTGAAAAAAGTTTCCAGTTTAGTTATATATGAATTA